AACATCCCAATACACCACTAACCCTGAGAGAAACTTTCCTCAACACATTTTGCAGTCAACAGAGGATCTAATTGATTTTGGCATGTGTGTGTCATCAGCAGTTAACCTCTGAGACAAAGAATTCATCTGAGTAAATTCCTTTAGAAAAAGAGAAGGCATCCGGGGTAAGTGTCCACATTCATATCAAACACCTCTTGGCATTGAGTGTTGGTGCACCATGCATGACTTACACAAGAGAACCATCTGGGAATTGTTCCATGGCCAAGAGTCAGCAAAACAAGCATTGGATTCAAAATCCCCGTAGTACAGGGTGATCAATAAGTAACTCCCTATTAGAAAGTTGGAATAACTTCAGTTTTTACAGGTACTGCATCAATCCTTTTTTTTAGTTTGAAAGTTTGTTTATTAGCATTTCACATGACAGTTATATTTCAACATAGGCACCAGCGTTCTCTACATATTTTTTCAACCGCACAACCACGATCCACTGATCCTTGTAGCAACTCCTGTGGCAAGGCATGAAAAACTTGTCAGATAAGAGTTCTGTTCAAGATTCAAGTTTGCAGGTTTGCTGGCATCCACATGTTCTTCAGCTCATCCCCACAAGAAAAAAATAACATGGACTCAAATCAGGACTGAACTACTTTCCATATGGATCGGACAGTGAGGACCGACAGAGTGGCCAGCAAGGAGTCCTGATCGAAAGAATGTGTAGAGAATACAGGTGCCTATGTTGAAATCTAACAACAGTCATGTAAAATGGTAATAAACAAGCTTTCAAACAAAACAGCGAAGATATTCCAACTTTCTAATAGGGAGTTACTTATGAATCCCCCTGTATAATTGAGGATGAATTGCACAGCTCACTTTTGTACCTTCTATAACTGGTTCTTGTCCCACACTTCAGGTGCATGCTCCAAAATAGGATGGATGTGAATGCAGCTGCCCTGGTTTCCTTGGGAGTCCACTCAAACTAAAAGTCTCTAATATAAAAGTTAAAATTTGAAATTGAACACTGTCTTATTAATTTGCACAGACTTTAGTAGTTTACAGCTTCACATGTTAGTGAAGGGGGTCCATACAGTAAATGAAGTTGAGAAATGCTAGTTCACAAAGAAATACATATTTTCATTGAGCCTGAAATTCCTTTTTCCTTGTGACCTGTATGAGTGCAACATTCATTGCCAGTCCTTTCACCAATCGATTACCAGTTGGTACTGCTACTGTTGCTACTGTTGGTATGCTGTACTCCTCTCATACAATAATCCCCCAGTTGCGAAGGGATTGTTTTCCTTCAATAAAATGTCAACTTTTAGACCATGTAGTCAAGCACTCTCACATTCCAGATAGATGTTGAACTCTCTCAACTTTCTTGAGAGAGGATCTGAGGAAACTTCTCATGCAGGAGTTTATCATTTGCCGATGGATGTACAGGAGTACAACAGTTGGAGGGATGCAAATTTATATTGACCATCATCAGGATTGAGAGGTTTCCTCAGATTCTTTCTTGGGAAAGGTTTGAGATTTCAGACCATGCAGCTTATCAAAGATGTTAAGATGTTAAACCCATATGAATGGTCCCCAATGCACCATCTGCTAGCCCCACAGTGAAGGGTTTGGCAGAACCAACATCAAATAAGATCTCACTTTTTCTCAAGCCAGGAAGGTTCCACCAGACACTTCCAAGTCTCACAAAGAAGGGGCCCAAGAACTCCAAACTCAGTTAGGTAATCCTGCATCCCCCCTGGTCAGCAGAGGCTTTGATGGGACAAGGCCAAGATTACAAATGAACTCCACCTGGTAGGGATGGATGAAGCAAACAAGAGATATAATTGGTCCACATGGCACTGTTGCAGGAATATCCTGTGCAGTCTAAAACAAGTTTCTTGCTGAGCCTCACTTAGTAATTATGCAAATTTTTCTCAAGTCTTGGCACAAGAATTAGTGTTTAGTGATAATATCAGCATCAACTCACCTGAAGCTGAGATGATAAGCTGACCCATCCCCCACTTTGGTACCATCATGAACCCCTTCTCTTCATACACCTTCATGGTTCATGCAGCCCACCTGATCAACAAAGTTTTCTCTCATGAGAACTACTAGGTGGAGGAACAACAGGTAGTACAGCTGTGGTCAACATGATGGAAGAAGATACCTTCCCCTTCTCTTCTACCTCTATTTCTTCTCTAAAAAAGCATTGATTAGAAGAGCATTACAACCTACTTTCATTTTTCATTTAATTTATGCATCTCATTACAGAAATAGCACTGCAGAGTGTGGGTGTGACTTTAAGAATAAATACTGATTACTTGGGAAACTATTTCTATTCTTTGTGACTAGAGGCTTGGTATTCCAGCCACTAAGCTCAAGTCCACTTTATGTGATCACGAACGTTGGGGGATGTTCTGCCTGCTCAATCTGAAACCCCACTAAGCCGCTGGCTTATAAGCAGTTAGATAAGCAATTTCCAAAATGTTTATTCGTAATCTTTTTCTTTTATCTTCATACAAGTTAGATGTGAAACTGCTCAGAGGACAATGACTTCAATAAAATGTTGAACAGCATCAATGGCAAGTATTGACCATAGGCCACATGATGGACACATAACATATTGAGAAATGCAGACCTGCAAGTGTTGACAGAGGGAAGCAGTCTGGAACCATGCTGGCTCTGCTGTCCTTGCAGTTCTGGGAAGGCATGCTTTGAACGAATTTACTGCGAACTGGGACATCATGTTGGTGTTGTCACACCTGGTTGAGACACCTGAAAGATTGATCATCTTAGAAGTTTTCAGATGAGCTTTAGAATAGCTGAAAACCATGAGAATAGGCAGAGAAGGGAAGGTAACTTACCAAGAAAGCCATCTAGCCCCATATTGATGCTGGCATCTTCCTATTCCTTTTATATCAATAGTATCTGCTTCACATATGGTATATATTCAGTGTTATTCAGGTGTCATCTGGTTCCATGCAACAGGGATTGGGATGGGGAAATCCTTCAATTGGTGTATCCCCTCTTTCCTGTCCTCCTAATGCCTGTAGTACCCAAAGTAACAACCTACACATTAGGTTTATGTTCATAAAAGCATTGTACATAATATAAATGGCGTAAATATGGATATATTGTTTTCTTGATTGGAGAGTATACCTTGGTATATTATATTATGAATTATGATGAATCTTAAAATATGAAAAGGTATGAATTTTTGAAGCTATGCATAAAATTGTGATTTTTTGAGAATGCTAATCATCTTTATAAGTGGTCCTGCAGGTATCTTCCAAATAACATGACATCATTAATTATTTCAGCATCTTGAAGCTTCTTAAATGCCAAATTCCAACAACTATTATTGATCGACAAAGGCCTTCAAATACATTCACAGACAGAAACTCGGTTTTTTCAGGATGCACAGGCATAAGATTACCATACATGCTGTAATTTTGACTTGCAAATCTAATCATATTCTAATTCCTCTTTCATTTCTGGAATGGGTTGAAGGGTTTCACCACGATCTTTGCCTTTTTGTCACCCTCAGGGCCCTGAGGGGAACTCTAAATTGATCAGGGCAAATGCACCAGCGACGAGAACATGCGATAAATAAATGAAAACTCGGAGGCCTCGAACTTACTTCGAACAAACGTTCGAATTCATGGCTTGATATGCCGAGTTAACAGGTCAGAGCTCAAATAGACCTAACCCTTAGGCCATCAAGGTCATCGCGCACATGTGGCTACCATCTTGAACTTAGGCCTAGCCCCAAACTGCCACGGTGAAACATCGTTCCACATCCGGAAGAACTCATTTTCCTTTTCCGAATGATTTCCTCACATTGAACCACGCGGGGAGTCTCTAAGCGCCTCTTCAATCATCCATGCGCCACCCACGCAGAGGCAGATGTCATCCTCGATCAGAAGGCTTTCTGTTCGGGCAAACCGTCAGGTGGAAGTCTCAATGTATTTAATTCAATGGAACGACAGACTTTTGATGGGCGGGTTTGGAAGACATGAGCCTGCACTGGTAGGGTGGTTTTTTTTTTCGACGAACCACAGACTAAGAGCAATCATGCTTACATGACTGTTTTTTAAACATGTTCCTCAAGGAGACTTTGCAGTTTTTTTATTTCCTACCTTTCCCTACCATATCGTTCACTTTCCTCTTTCTAATTGCGGGTGTACTTTCACTGCCATCAGACAGGGGCGAAGTTACCCATTACACTCATAGGAAAAAAATATTCCTAAGGAAACGCGATAAAATTAGCAAATATTGGCATAGAACGATCCAATGTGCGAATCGACAGTAGCAAATCACACGTCCACGTAACTGTGACGAGAACGAAGTTTCCTATTATACTCAATCGAAAACATATTTCGGGTGAAACGACAGAAAAAGATGTGAAACCTTGATAGTTCGATTCAATGGGCGAATCGACACTAGGAAATCACACTTCCACGCCATTGTGACAAGAACGAAGTTTCCCATTACACTCTATGGAAAAACATATTTCTAGGGAAAGGACAGAAAAGAGATGAATCCTGGATAGCACGATTGAATGTGCGAATCGACGGTAGAAAACCACACTTCCACGCCACAGTAACAAGAAAAAAGTTACACATTACTATCAAGCAAAAACATATTTCGGGTGAAACTACTGATAACAATGTGAAACTTGGATAGTGCGATTCAATGTGCGAATCGATAGTAAAAAATCACACTTTTACGCCACCTTGACAAGAAAGAAGTTTCCCATTACACTAAAGCAAAAACATTTCTGGTGAAACAACAGAAAACGACGTAAAACATGGATGGTGCGATTCAATGAGGGAATCTAGAGAAGAAAATAAAAATTTCACCATCATCAGCCAGAACTGAAGTTTCCCAAAACACTCAAGCGAAAACATATTTCAGGTGAAACGACAGAAAAAGAGACGAAACCTAGATAGTGCGATTCAATGTGCGAATGGATAGAAGAAAATCATAATCTCACGACCATCAGTCAGGACCGAAATTTACCATTGCACTCTTTGGAATAAAATATTCCACGTAAAACGCCATGAAATAACCAAACATAGGCATAGCAGGATTCAAAATGCGAAACGACAGTAGGAAATCACACGTCCACGCCACTGTGAGAAGAACGAAGTTTCCCATTACACTTTATAGAAAAACATATTTCGGGTGAAACGACAACAAACGATGTGAAACCTGGATAGTGCGATTCATGGTGCGAATCTATAGAAGAAAAATCACAATTTCACCATGATCAGGCAGGACTGAAGATTTCCATTACACTGAATGGAAAAACATATTTATTGGGAAACGACAGAAAAGAGATGAAACCTGTATAGCACGATTGATCGTGCGCATCGACTGTAGGAAATCACACTGCCACGGCACTGTGACAAGAACTAAGTTTCCCATTACACTAAAGAAAAAACATTTCGGGTGAAACAACAGAAAACGACGTAAAACATAGATGGTGCGATTCAATGAGGGAATCTAGAGAAGAAAATCAAAATTTCTCCATCATCAGGCAGAACTGAAGATTTCCATTACACTCTATGGAAAAACATTTCTTGGGAAACGACAGAAAAGAGATGAAACCTGGATAGCACGATTGAATGTGCGAATCGACAGTAGAAAATCACACTTTCACGGCACCTTGACAAGAAAGAAGTTTCCCATTACACTAAAGCAAAAACATTAAGGGTGCAACTGCAGAAAACGACATAAAACATGGATGGTGCGATTCCATGAGCGAATTTATAGAAGAAAAGCACAATTGCACCATCATCAGGTAGAACTGAAGTTTCCCATAACACTCAAGCGAAAACATATTTCAGGTGAATCGACAGAAAAAGAGATGAAACCTAGATAGTGCGATTCAATGTGCGAATGGATTGAAGAAAATCATAATCTCACGACCATCAGTCAGGATCGAAATTTACCATTAGCCTCTATGGAAAAAAAAAACATTCCAAGGGAAACGCCATGATATAACCAAATATAGACATATTTGGCATATTTGGAAGATACTTGCAGGTATCTTCCAAATAACATGACATCATGAATTCTTTCAGCATCTTGAAGCTTCCTAAATGCCAAATTCCAACAACTATTATTGATTGACTGTATACAAAGCCCTTCAAATCAATTCACAGACAGAAACAGTTTTTTGAGGATGCACAGGGATAAGATTACCAAACATGCTGTAATCTTGACTTGCAAATCATCGCGCACATATGGCTAGGCCTACTATATACTTACTACTATATATATATACTTACTATATACTATACTTAGGCCTAGCCCCAAACTGCCACGGTGAAACATCGTTCCACATCCGAAGAACTCATTTTCCTTTTCCGAATGATTTCCTCACATTGAACCACGCGGGGAGTCTCTAAGCGCCTCTTCAATCATCCATGCGCCACCCACGCAGAGGCAGATGTCATCCTCGATCAGAAGGCTT